GATAGATAGATAGATAGATAGATAGATAGATAGATAGATAGATAGATGATGGATAGATAGAAAGGAATGGAAAAGAGAAAGGAAAGGAAAAGAGGAAGGGAAGGGAAAAGAGGAAAGAAGGAAAGGAAGGGAAAGGAAAAAAGGAAAGGAAGATGGGAAGGGAAAGGAAAGGAGGAAAGGAGGAAAGGAAGGAGGGAAGGGAAAGGAAAAAAAGAAGGAAAGGAAAGGAAGGGAAAGGGAAAAAGGGAAAGGAGGATGGGAAAAGAGGAAAGAAAGAAAGCCTCCTGCATAGCCTGATCACATAATTTCATCACGAAACAGGAGGAATCCAGCTAGTTATACAATGTAAGTAAAATAATGGCTGACATTATAAATAAGTTGGCTTGTTTTGTTTGTGATCATTGTTTCATAAGAGTCATCAAAAATACTTTTATTGTAATTGTTCTCAGTGTGGGCTATATAAAAGTAGGATTACGAATAATAAACCCAAAGTGATGCTATATACGCTATAAATTCATTAAACTGAGTGACATTAATTGTGCTGCAGTTCAATTGTATGTTATACCAAATAGTATGTATGATTTTCAAACTGTTGACAATCTTATGAAATGCTGCACTAGGTAGTATAATATAGTCAGTTTTATGTCAAATGTATCCACATAGTCAGCAATTTTCTGAATTAGTTTGCAATATATCTATTTATTATTTTCATTAGCTATATTTCCTATCATCAAGGTGCTCAAAGTAATGTGTAGCCAATAAACACTAAAAGAAATACAAATTAAAGTGTCAGAAAGTTACAATTAAATAAAGAAATAGATCATTAGTCAATAAACAGATTACTGGACCAAACACTTTCATGATTCAAATCTGATGAGAAATCTGGTCATTGCTAGCTGTTGAGATATTTATCAGTCTAACACATCACAATGTCCAAAAACATTGTTGTAATTTATAGTAACCTTGTCCAAACAGATATAAACATCCATAAACTATATTGTCATATACACCACAGGTTGTGGAAACCTAAATGCTAATACCTAGTAGTAGGTAGTAAATTATTTTTCTGAACAATATTCTTGTCATGAAACAGGTATAATTTAATTCATTTGTAAATGTTACTATGTTAGCTGAAAACACTAAGAGGTAATATTGAGCTCACTGAAGATCTGGATTCAAACAAAAATGTATTCCTAAATTCAGCACTTTGCAATGCATTATCTTGTTTAAGCACAACATCAACTTTATGAATATGTGCTGTCATGTAAAAGAACAATGGAACTACTATATACACTGATAAATATGCTAAGGAAATTCAATATTGGTTAATCCCTAGAGTCAAGAGAGCTTAGTTCCCCCTTTTAGTTTTTGGAATACATGAAATATCTTTTGATGTAGAAGTGAGGCCATACAACATATGGCCTTGGTTGTGGGTTTTTTATATTTCAGTTTTTACTTTGCTGACTTTCTACAAAAATATACCAGGTCTTTGATTTGTCATGGGTCATGGGTCATACAAAACCTTTAAAAAAAATGACATTGTTTAAGTCAGTTATTAAATAGAATGAAATGATATGCTGAAGTAACAATTCTGGAATGTACCACTATATATAATTAGGGACAGAGAAAAGAAAACAAAAGTAATTTTGAAGTAGCATATAAAGTTTTTTTTCATAAACAAAAAAAAAGAAAGATAAATATTTTGTTGAGTTCTGAGAGAGTTTGCTCAGAAAATGGATGTTCGCATGCTATGTTTATGTGTTTTTGCTTTCCATAATCAATATATCTCTTTTTGTTACATTTTTATGACAACTGAACTGTACAAATAGCATTAAATGCTTTTGTATCTTTCTATCTTTCAAGGCTTCTTGGCAATGGGTATGTCTACATACAATGTAATTTTCATGACAAATACCCCTAAGAGCACTGAATGAAACATGAATTATTTTCTGAAAAGTGAAGCCCACTACATTTGGACCAAGTGCTATTCCAGGTTGATTTCAGAGACAGAAGTCCAACTCATAAGTCACTGTAGCCAATTCATTTTGCTCCAGAAAAGGCTGGAACTTGCCCATCAACCTGAGCCATGGTGGTGAAGTGGTTAGAATGCAGTACTGCAGGCTACTTCTTCTGACTGCCAGCTGCTGCAATTTGGCAGATCAAATCTCACCAGACTCAAGGTTGACTCAGCCTTTCATCTTTCTGAGATGGGTAAAATGAGGACACAAATTATTGGGGCCAATATGCTGACTCTGTAAACTGCTTAGAGAGGGCTGTAAAAGTACTGTGAAGTGGTATATAAGTCCAAGTGCTATGCTATCAACCTGAACTGGATAAAGATACTTTTGGCTATGGCTACTACCAGCCCTTCCAGCAGGAAAAGTGAACCTAAGACAAAACCTCAAGTCATAGTAACATTATCTCAAGGGCAGCAATTCTGTCTTATTGAAATAAACTTTGTCCTATTTTGTCCCATTCATACTTCAACAGTCTCTACACACCAGGAGCAGATTTTGACAACATCCCTTGTGGGGCCCAAGATCATAATATTGAGCCAAATATCAGTGTATTGATGATATCAAACCATAACATTGCTATGAATATATTACATAGCAAGAGCAGAGAAGAAACAAATGTTGTGAAAATAGTCACCATCCTGACCTCCTCCATCATCATAGATTAGAATTATATCTTGAGATATCAGAGGAACCACTTAAGAATGGTTGTTTCTTTCCATATTAATGTCTAGCACTCCTTAATACTGTAGTCGATGGCATAAAATGCCAATGAGAGGTCTAAGAGGACTACCAAACTACATCAAAGTTCCTACAAAAATTAGAGTGGTCAATGGCTTCTCTATCCCATGTCAGAATTGTAATATGACTGTTCAGGAATCGAATTGACCCACTTCCTATAGTATTCTTTTGAGTTCCCTTAAGCAAAGGTGCACCATAGCTTTCTTCAGGACTTTCAGTGTTGCCCTTTTCCAAAGTGAAACAATGTCCATGTCTCAGTTCTACCATTTCTTTTTATATGCTATTAAGAAGCCAAGAAGGACCTGGATCAAGCTCGTATATGTTAAATACATCAATATTAGCACAAGATTCCCGTGAAAGTTGATTAATTTTATTAGTTTACTCAGAGGAAGATTGTCAAGAACTTTAAAACTAAAATAATATTAGGAAAACAGTATTAAAATAACAATCGTCATTAGATAGCCATTCACCAAAACAAAATTATTATTTTAAAAATCTGGGATAGAATTTTGATTCAAATCTGTCTTCAAAAATCCATCTTGTTGCTCCATCTTTCTTAATGATTATCAGAACAAATCCTCAGATATCTAAGAGTAGTCAGCTAAAGGTCTCTCAGCCAAAATTGTTAGGGCATTCCATGAGGTTCTATTTTATCTCTCATGATGTTCAAAATCTAAATGAACTCACACTCATCCTACCTGTTACCTAAGTCATATTTAGAAAGCCTGCTCTGGATATTGGACAATTTCAAGCTGTATGGAAAAACTCCATCTGTTCAACATTGTTACCAGCTTCAAAATGGGTGGGGGGGGGGTAGAAAGATGCAATCATGTGATCAAAACCCTACCTTTATACACATGTGATAAATATTAAAAAAGATAATTCTTGCTATTTTTACACGTACTGGGAATTATAGATTTCAGATGCAAAACTAAAAGCTTCAGTTAACTAATTATTTGTATGTTGCAGATTACTTAATCATAATGATATGAATCTGTACAATTCCAGTATTTTGAAGAAATATAATTGGCTATTTTGTTTTTATATAGGAGTTATCATTTAGCTTCATTCTGGAAAAAGATCTATGTGGTCACTTAAAGATAACATTGACTTGATGGAATACAGTCAATTAACTGGTTTTGTTGAATTTCAGTAAATTTTAGTAACATGATTTGCTAGGTTTCATTGCCTTTACACATACAACAAAATCAATGGATTATCCACTGGAGAAGACTCTTGTGCCAAGTCACAATAATAATAATAACCCTTAGACTTATATACCACTTCACAGTGCTTTCCAGCCCTCTCTAAGCAGTTTACAGAGTTAGGCTATTGCACCCAACAATTTGGGTCCTCATTTTACCCATGTTGGAAGGATGGAAGGCTGAGTCAACCTTGAGTCTGGTGGGATTTGAACTGCCAAACTGTAGGCAGCTGGCTGCAGAAGTAGCTTGCAGTACTCCACTCTAACCACTGCACCACAGAAGCTCCTTATAACAAAAGATTTTCATAGAATAAGAGAGTTGGAAGGGACCTTGGAGGTCATCTAGTCCACCTTCCCTGCTCAAGCAGGACCAAATATTAGCCTCTACCT